GTTAGCTGCTGTGGACAATGTCACTCTTGCATGTGTTAGCTGCTGTGAACAATGGTGCTGCTCATTTTTCATTATCTAGAAATCTGATAAAATTTTATGGTCAGCTAGCAGAACCCTCTCATTATGGATTTATTCCCTGTGATATTGATTTATTGTTCTGCTTTTTTAAAACTATTTTTATTTATTTACATTCCTGCCATTGTCCCCTCCCATTTCACCATCCCATAGTTCCTCACTCCATTCTTCCACCCCCATGCCTCCGAATGCCCCCCTACCACTAGCTGGTATCGTCATTTCCTGGGGTCTCGAGTCTCTCAGGATTAGGTGCATCTTCTCCCACTGAGGTCAGACCAGTCAGTCCTCTGCTTTTTAAGTGCCTGGGGCCTCGGAGCGGTGTATGCTGCTTGGTTGGTGGCTCAGTCTCCAGTTCCCTAGGGTTTGGGTTAGGTGAGACTGCAGGTCTTCCTATGGTGTTGCCCTCCCTTTCAGTCCCTTCAATTTTTCCCCTATTCTTCTAGAAGAAATGCACTGAATTACTCTACTCCAGCACCTTAAACCCAAAGTTTTCTAGAGTACAAATAATCCCCGCCCCCAGTTTTAGGGTTATTTATAGTCTTGACAAAAGTCATAGTCACAAATTTTCATCTTAATAAATGATTATTTTTTATTAAAAAAATTTTTTAAATCCCGTCACGACAGTAATGTGATTTTTAACTATTCTGTCTACCCATGACAAAGCATTTAAAACAAAGCACCAAAAGCTATAGCCTTTCTCACGTTATCCTTTCTTCCTTTCCCTAGAACGGTTGAGTAAATGAACTAAATAGCAATTGCACAAGGCCTGTGAACAGGAGAATTGTGGAGCAAAGAGGATTACTTCCTTATACAGATGAGGATACTGACACGGTTGACAACTGACTCACCCATGCCTACACAGCCAGCACGAGCCAGAGTTGGGGACAGAATCACATAGGCCTCCTGGGAGAGCCTAGGAAACCAAGGTGGGCTCTCAACATATAGAGGAGGCCCAGTCTGATTGAGTCAGTGGGATTCTGTTCTCATATGGGATTTAATGACCACTCTTTTCATGGCATATGGTTCTGGAGCTAGAACTAATCACCATGTGCAGCCACCTGTGCGGAAAGCAAAGGACCTCAACATACCAGCTCTTCATTACATTCAATAGCAAGTGGCACTTAGCACATCTGGCTACTCACAATAGACGCATGAGATAATTGTTTGAGAACATAACACTGATTATTTAAAGGGTGGGGATCCAATGCAATTAGGCAACTATATACTACCTCAGCTTTGCCATGGGAAATCTCAGGCAAGGCACTGTTAGTCTCTAGCCAGTTTTTCCGTCAGGCCAGTCTAGAGTTCTTGGGATTTTTCCTTGGGCTTATTATGGTAGACCTGTCATGGGGAGTCTGAACCTGAGGTCTGGAGGACCTGTGTACATGGGTAGGGATGCTCGAAATGGAACACTGAGAAAGGAAAGACACTTAGTGTGTCTTTTTCTCTAGTAATTTGGGTGAAAGGCTGCTGTTCTATCACCTCACAGCCTCCTTTAACTTGTATTTCCCCTAAAACACTTAGCACTAAAATACAGTGTATTGTGGATGGAGGAAGGGAAGAAGAAAATTAATTAGGTCAAAACTCAAAAAGACAAAGTGTCTGTTCTAGAGAAGTGTTAATCTGTCATTCTTGGCACAACAGACTTAAGTTTCATAATTTCTATATCCACTATTTTCTTGAAATAGCTACACTATTCTTTTAGCAGATGGGAATTTTAGTACTGACTACCATTTCAAGTTCCCAACCAGTCACAGAAAAGTTGGATTTAAAAGTAAATAGTGTAAATTATCATTTATGATGAGATACTTACCTCATGTATCAGAAGGCAGAAGATGAAAGGCATAAAATTCACTGCCATTACCAAGTAGTCAACAGAAGCAGTAAGGAGGGATGTCTCCATCCTTCTGCCAGACAGTCCGCTGTCCTGCCTCAGGCTTGACAGGCACTGTGGTAGAGCTAACTTTCAATCAATGATGGGGGATAACTTGAGTAGGAAGGTAGTCAGGGGAAACAAAGTACAGATTATCACCTCCACTCCCTAGATGGAAGAGGACCCATTACAAGAAGGAGGCTGGTACCAGGAGATGAGAAAGGGATGAACCTTCGACTAAACCACACAAATGAATCCTGGGTATCTGAGTCTACCAGCGATAAATCTCAGTCAGTCACTGTCAGCACAGCTTAATAGACAATTGCTCGTTGAAGTGGAAGTACATGTTAGACTTTTAGAGTCCATTAATATATTTTTAAAAATATAATTCAGATTTTTAAAAATTATCTTTAATATATTTTTTTACAGTCCATTTATTCCCCCCCCCCCCCGGTCTGTCTTCTAACAGTTTCTTATCCCAATCCTCCTCCCCTCCCCAATCTCCCCACCCGGATCCAAAAGGTCTACCCCTACCCACCCCCTCCAGGCCTCTTCACTCCCTGGGGCCTCAAGTCTCTCAAGGGTTAGGTGCTTCTCTCACTGAGGCCAGACCAGGCAGACCTCTGCTGTACATGGGTTGGGGTTGGTGTGTGCTGCCTGGTTGGTAGCTCAGTGTCTGAGATCTTGGGGCTCCAGGTTAGTTGAGGTCACCATCCTCCTCCTAGGCTTCTTCCAGCATTTCCCTAATGTAACCACAGGGGTCCCGACTTGAGTCCATTGGTTGGATGTAAGTATCTGCATCTGTCTGTCAGCTGCTTGTTGGGCCTCTTGGAGGGTAACCATGCAAGCATTGAAAGTACCTTTAATTTCCCACACAGAATGGAAAAAACTATGAACCAGACACAGGATTTGAACACCTGGTTTATTGGGGGAAGCTGGAAATGAAAACTGCAAATGTCTTTGCTGCAACTTACAAAATAGTGTTCTGATATTTAAAATAAGCTAGTTTCCATTATATAAGTATAAATGGTAAGAAAAAAAATAATAGCCCTTCCAATACGTATTCAGAGAAACTCATTCCCAAATTTTCCACTTGTATGTATTATACAAATACTTTAAGTCTGTTTACCAAGGGAGACCAGGTTTTTAATTATATTTAGGTTCTGTTACAGTTAAAAATGTATTCTAGCTGTCTATGAGTATAGCACAGTTGAGGCTGAGAGGAGGCATTGACATGTCTTCTCCTAAGATGTCTGAATGGTACTGCTATGACAGTAGTAACCCTCCTGTGCCTTCCTGCCCGACCTTGTCATATCCACCAGTCGGGAGGGATTAGGCCTAGTTCATCCTCCCATCCATTCTACGCTGGTTCTAAACATACACACGCAAAACTGTACAGATTTGTTAATATGGCTTCTTCCCACACCCTACCACTCTAAACTACATTAAAAGAGGAAAATTCATTTTAGCATTTCAGTAGTGACAGTGGCCTGACCACTGTAACCTTGGCCATGTTAGAACACTTTCCCACATAGCAGTGAAAGTCAACACAAAGCTTAGCAAAACAATAATTGTTTAAAACACTGACTAAAAATTCTCACGAACGATGCTCACTTAGTAAACCATTCTAAACCATGCTTCTTTATGTAAATGAAACCCCTCAAAAGGGTTTTTTTTTAAAAAAAAATATTAATTTCAGAATATTTGGTCACGGAAATTTTGCCAGTAGCTTTCCTTCTCTTTAGCCTTTAGTAGAAACAACCCATTCTATGTGGAAAAACAAAAGCTTCATCAGATTATTAAATGAGAAGCCATCGCATTTCTACTTTACCAAGTTTCACAGGCATGCTCTTTAACAAACGAAATTTAAATGATAAAGAATTGATGTAAGGAGAAATTAGCATATACTTAGAAAACAGAAACAAGGTTTTTTAAACTCCATAAGACATACACAGGACATGAAACTTAACACTATTTATGAAGAATTTTCTTTAGCATTTATTCTAGCGTTTCTGATCATATGAATACAGCTCAAACATAGGTTCCTGTGCCTTGGAGAACAGTTTCCTCCTCAGATCCATCTTGCAGCAGGCTTTTCTCAGGATCTCCCTCCCACATTAGGCAGAAGTATAGAAGTACCTGGGCTTGGCATTGCCCAGAAGGTCATCCTCGTAGTTGGGGAGGCAGCAGAAGAAGAAGGAACAGCCAATCAGGATGATCGTGGCTGCCCATCCGAAGCCATAGGCCCAGTTATAGATGTAATTGACAGCAGGACTGTCATGAAGCCTGAAGGTCTGTGTGTATTTCACGGGGTAGATTACCAGGGAGATGATCTGGAATACAGCTAAAGGGAAGAAAAAAATAAGCTCAGAATATGAACTTCAAATGAACAAATACATGAACGAATGTAGAGTGTGCTGATTATTGTTTGGCAACTCCACACAAGCTAGAGTCTTCTAGGAGTGGGGACCTTGACTAAAGAAACACCTTCATCAGACTGGCCTGTGAGCATGTCTATGAGGCATTTTCTTGATTAATGATTAGAGTGGAAAGGCCCAGCCCACTGTGGACAATGTCACCCATGGGCAGGGGTCTTGGTTTGCTTAAGACATCAAGCTGAGCATTGAGCAAATCAGTAAGCAGTGTTCCTCCACTGCTTAAGTTCCTGCCTCTGGATCCTTCTTGAACTCCTGCTTTGGCTTCACTTTCTATTGAACTCTTAACTTGCAACATTTAATAAACCCTTTCCTCCTCAAGCTGCATTTGGTCATGGTGTTCATCACAGTCACCCAGGACACCAGGACACACATCACAACCTCCTCATTCACAAGTTTCTCCCTTTAATGATAATCCCTCAAAAAAGTAGCTAGAGGAACCTAGCTAATCATGAGCCAAAGTAGCCAAAATGATTGGCTGCCACATGAAACAGATCCCTAGATCCATACAAGAAACTTGTGGGAAATCACTCTGCATGACACGAGTATCTAACTCGGCTAAACACTTGTTTGTCCTCACCCTTGTTCTGATATCTTAACTTGTTTTCTAGAGTTCTACAGGTAAACACTAAAGTGGTTTCCTATCTCCCACCTCCTGCTCTCCCTCTTCTCCTTTCTTTCCTTTTCCTCCCTCCCTCCCTCCCTCCCTTCCTTCCTTCCTTCCTTCCT